CCGCCTTCCCTCGGCTTGGCTCTTTGCGTGATCGCGTCCTTCCCGGCTCGCCCACGGGTTCCTCTCCTGCCCAATTCCCTGAGGGACTGGCCCCAATCATTTCTTTGCGTGTTTTCTCCTCTGCAGAAGAAGGTCCAGGCGACGGTGCGCAGGCAGGGCCTGGCTGCTCTGGTTCATTTCCTCTTCGGCCCTCCCCGGCTCCAGCCGCAGCTGCAGGGAGAGCGGGAGCTGGCTCTGGCCATGGCACAGTGTGAGTGTCCCCTCCGCCCCAACGCGAGCCGCTGGCCCGGCCGGCGTCGCCTTTATCGCGAGGCCTTCGTGGGAAACGACTCGAGGGGTGCTGGGGGTGCGGTGGGGTCCCTGCCTGCTTATCCCGTGGCAGCTGCTTGTCCTAAAGGACGTCTTCTCCGTCGCCTTTGCTCCTGTGCTGAGCGCATGTTCGCTTTTGGCAGGGGCACGATAGATCTCTTGATCCCTTTCCGTCGTGCCACAGTAGCCGTTCCACGCGTACGCCTTGATGTGGCACCGGGCGGGTGCTCCACGGCTCTATGGCCCTTCCCGCTCCTCGTTTTGTGACCAAAACAAGCAAGACATGAATCCTCCCGGTACCTTGGCATGATGTATGTCGTCTCTCACCATCCTGTGGTGGATTATACGCGCTGAGCATGCGGAAACTCCTCGCCTTTGGTTTGCGGTTGGTCGCAGTTCCCAGGGCAGCACTGCTTCAGCCAGCAGAACTTCACGTGATGCCCGAGTTATTCGTTACCCCCACGCTCGTACAACGCACAGTCGTATTATTGGTGTTTCTGCGCTTCTAAGGCTTCTTTTTACCTTCCCTTCTCCCCTCCAGCAGCATAAACACGACCGGGATGTTCTTCTTGTTGCCGTAAGCCATTCTTGGCTGCGGGATTTAATTTCTAGCTGGACTCTGGCTTTACCCTGCAGCCGGTGGCGGTTTCTTTCCTCACCGTATCCCTGCGCTGGCGCTCGAGGGCAGCGGGGCAGGAAAAAGTGGGTTTTTTTAGATGCTGAGGGGTGGGGTTTTTTCTCTCTGCCAGGTGGTTTGGATGATAACGAGAGAGTGCACATGAGAATCCTGCAGACCATTTACAAGAAGCTCACGCGCTCCAGGTTGGGCTGCCCGCGCTACGGGGCGCACTGGGAAGAGCTCGGCTTTCAAGGTAGGGCAGGGGGAGAGGCCTCTGGAGCAAGGCTTTGCCGAGAGTGAGGGCGCTGGTCCCGTTCCCTCCGCCGGAGGTGGGATCCAGAGGCAGCCCAAAGGCTTTGCTGCTCGTTCCCTCTCCCTTCAGGCAGCCGCCGTCCCTGCTGCCGTTTCGTAGAGTTGTTGAGGTTGGAAAAGACCCTTAGGATCATCAAGTCCAACCATTAACCGAGCGCTGCCAAGCCCACCACTGAACCATGTCCCGAAGCACCACATCTACATGGCTTTTAAATCCCTCCGGGGATGGGGACTCAACCCCTTCCTTGGGCAGCCTGTCCCGGTGCTTGACAAACCTTTTGGTGAATAAATTTTTCCTAATATCCAATCTAAACTTCCCCGGGTGCAACTTGAGGCAGTTTCCTCTCATCCTGTCCCAGCTCCCTCAGCCGCTCCTCACAGGACTTGTGCTCCAGACCCTTCCCCAGCTCTGTTGCCCTTCTCTGGGCACACCCCAGCACCCCAACGTCCTTCTTGTACCGAGGGGCCCAAAACTGAGCGCAGCATTCGAGGCGTGGCCTCAGATCAACGCTCCCGCCCAACTTGGTGTCATCTGCGGATTTACTGCAGGTGCGCTCAGTCCCCTCGTCCGGATCTTTGCTTGAGATGCTGAGCAGAGCTGGCCCCGATGCTGAGCCCTGCGTTCGTAGCAGATCTGTCGCTGCCCCGGCCAGCTGTCACAACCGGTGCAACATCTGGACTGGCTGGCCGGATAACACCAATACCCGCTGGCACGGCTGCCCGCGTCCAGCTGGCACGGGCATAACAAGAAGTAGCTGGCGTAACCGCTTTGCCCGGGCCATTAATGCTCTTCATTAGCAAGCGATCTCTGCAGCTAATGAGCCGTCTCCGGAGGGCTGGTTTATTAGCGAAGCGCAGGTCAGGGCTCTGTCACTAAGGTTGCGCCCGCAGGTTGCTTTCAGCCTTGGCTGTGTAAGAAAAACAGCGTGATTAAAGCTGTCACGTGCGGCCTCGCAGGAGTTTTCGGGCTGGTTGACTCACAAGTTAAATAGGCCGGGTTTTAATGAAGCCTGAAACCCTCAACGGGAGGGGAACGGCTCCCACTCCTCCGTCCTGTCGAGTACACAACTGGTTTTAAGCGTTAGTTTACCAGCCAAATGTGCCCTGGGGTGGGTAGAGCTCGGAGCTACTAATTCCCAGAGAAGGTACGGGGATGGGCATGTGGGTAGGAGAGCGAGGGCCTGTTAACGCCCTCGTGAAAGAGCCTACGGCACCCGTTCGGCTCTGGTTAGGGAGATTTCCCCAAAAGCTTTCCCTCGGGATGTGGTTCCTGAAGGCAATCACTGGGACTCCTCTGCTCTTGGAACACCGGGACAGGGCGTAAGCAGCCCATGGAAGCGGGGAGGTGACCAGAGAGCGACTCCGTGCTGTCCCTCGCTTCACCGGGCTGTCCTGCCCTTCCAGGTGCGGATCCCGGCACTGACCTGCGAGGGACGGGGATGCTGGGCCTGATGCAGATGCTGTACTTCGTCATGGACTCGCAGACGCTGCCTCTGGCTCGAGAGATCTTCAAGCTGTCCCATCACGAAACCCAGGCACGTCCTTCCGCCCTCCTCGCTTGCTCCCCGCAGTGGTATCTACCTGTTTATTTCTAACGCTCGGGGAAAGGGAAGCACGGAAACCTTCTCTTTGGAGTAAGGGCTTGACTTTTTTTGCGGCCTAATCCCCCTCGCGCTGGTGAGGGGAGGAAGGTGGTGGTGAGGGGAGGAAGGTGGTCCCCAAAGAGCTGAGGAGCTCCCATCAGAGGCTGGAGCCGAGCTCCAGGTCTTGGCTTTATTCTGCGAATGAGATTTTGGCGTCCTGGTGGAGATCAGAGATTTGCTCCCGAGATCCTGGCTTGGAGCTGAGCTTGGGCAGGTTAAAAGGGCTGGGGAAGTGGGCGAAGAGCAGCACGGTGTGAAAATGGGAGCGAGCGGAGCCTGTCTCCTTAAACTTGGCATTTTGGTCTCGGATATGGTTGGGTTTAAGCCTGGTTATAAGCTCAGCTTGACCCGCACCATCCATCTGAGCCTGTATCCGCAGTGTTATCCCGCTACACGGGCCTGTTGCCTGCAGCCGCCATCCCACGGGGCTGCGGCTGCGCGGGTGCAGCATAGAAGGGCTGGAGGTGTTGTCTGGTCACCGCGTGCCGCGAGAGAAGCCGCTTTTTCCAGCCGAGCTGCCGTTAACGCTCATTCTCTTGCAGAATTTCCCCTTCTGCATCATGTCCGTGAACATCACCCGCATCGTCATCCAGGCCCTGAGGGAGGAACGTCTCTCCAGGTGAGGTCTGGAGCGGCCGACGGCTCCGTAGCCGGGCTGGCTGGTGGTTTTGGGGCCTCAGAGGGCGTTTGTCGCGCGTTCCCGTTGAGCGGGGTCCCTCCCTCGGCTGCCGGGACGGCGGCTGTGGCGCCTGAGCCCCTCTCCGTCCGTTTCAGGGAGTGCAACCGCAGGCAGCAAGTCATCGCCGTGCTCAACGACTTGTACGCGGCGGCCTTTCTGCAGCTCTACCGCGTCTGGAAATGGCAGCACAAGACCGTCGCCGACTCCGGCTTCCTCCTAAAGGGTGCGTTGCCCTGCGCTTTCCCCTCCTTTCCCAGCCGAGGAAAATAACCCGAGGCCCGGAGGACAAACCCGGTGCATTCTCTGCACGGTCGTGTCCTGCTGAGCCCGACCCCAAGGGCTGTGGCGCCCAGAAAGCCCCAACCATTCATCGTTTAATCTTCACACCGAGCTTTTCAATCATCTTTAACTCTCCAAGCGCCCTGTGGGGTGGTTTTCTTGCCATTTCGCATCTCAAATCTTAAAAATGAACACCCGTGGAAGCGCCCGCCCTGTTCAGAGGGGTGCTGTGCCGCGGTGGCTCGAGGTGGGTGACAAACGGGGACGTTTCTTGCTGCCCCGGGCTCGCTGACATCGCGTGGTGCGGTTGCGTAAGCCCTGTTTGTAGCGCGGGGCGTAAGCGGAGGCGCCGATGGCGTGCTTTTC